CTCTCCCCCAGGAGCCCGGCTGGAGGGTTCTGGTTCCTGCAGGGCTCAGGGTGGCCTGGCTGTTCCTGCCCGAGCTGGGGCAGGGCAGCATTACCTGTGGAACGAAGGTCTCTCCCCGGCGTCGAAGGCGTCGCGCAGCCGCCGCACCAGGTTGTCCTGGCCGGGCAGGCGGAAGATCCCCTCCTCGGCCACGCCGTGCTCCCGGATGAACTCGGCGCTCTTCTGCACCACGGCGGGCACCAGCTGCTGCCCCAGCTTCTGCTCGTGGGCCATGGTGTGTGCCAGGCACTGCCCGAACACCGCTGGGGACGGCACCGGGGCGCAGCTCAGCTCGAGGTTTGGCTTTTTGTGCTTCCCTCGCTCTGTGCTGCATGGCTGCGAGACCCTGAACTCCGTGTAAAGCGTCGGCGAGCTCCGCTCACGGCCCAGCCACACGAAACCCGCCCCGTCCAGCCCAGGAGCAAGGACAGCACTGCAGCTTTGGCCCAAGAAGGGCAAACAGAGACCTGAGGAGCCAGGCAGAGCTCAGAGGGCCTGAAGGGGCTCCAGGAGAGCCGGAGAGGGGCTGGGGACAAGCGCGGGACACAGGGAATGGCTTTGGGCTGAAGGAGGAGAGATTTGGATGGGATATTGGGAAGGAATTCCCAGCTGGGAGGGTGGGGAGGCCCTGGCCCAGGTCCATGGCTGGGTGACCCAGGCAGGCTGGAGAAAAAATTGAGGGCAGAAAGGATGGAATTCACAGAACTCACAGAAAGGATGAGCTGGGCAAGAAAAGGCAGGGGAAAAGCCAAGTGAGGAGTTTGGCAGGTGGAAAACAACATTTTTTCAAGGCTTTATCCCCGAAAGGAAGTTTTCCTCAAGAACATTTTCAGAAAGGAAGCTGAAGAAGAAGATGAAGCCAGGCCAGAAATGCTCATCCATGCTCTCCTCAGCACTGCCCCTGTCTGGAAGGGCCAAATGGGGGAAAATCCCCATTTTCTGGGGATTTCTGAGCCAGACCCTCGGCCAGGATCGCTGCAGGGCACAGCCCAGTGCAGGCACAGCCCCTGTCCCTGTCCCTGTCCCTGTCCCTGTCCCTGCCCCTGTCCCTGTCCCCTCTCACCTCCCGAGGCCGAGCCCAGCGCCCTCCGGATGGATTTCACCCACTCCTCCATCTCGGCCTGGGAGCTGGCCATGAGCACACAGGGGTCCTGCCCGGCCCGGGGCTGCTCGCCTGCCACCCCTGCAAAAACATTCACAGGGCAGAAAAAACCTCATTTACAGGGCAGAAAAACACCTTTACAGAGCAGAAAAATCCACATTTATAGGGCAGAAAAAAAAACATTTACAGAGCAGAAAAAACTCATTTACAGGGCAGAAAAAAATTCATTTACAGGGCAGAAAAAAACCCACATTTAAAAAGCAGAAAAGACTCATTTAAAGAGCAGCAAAGACTCATTCTGGTTGGTTTTTTGTTCAATTGTCCTGGCCTGGAATTTCCCCGTTAAACCTGCAGGGGAAGAGGAGTTTGGACATTTCCCACTTTGAGGGAAGGAACAGAAACTGCTGCAGCTGCAGCTTGGCAGATAATTCTGGTTTGGGGCAAATTTGGGAGAAAACTTTTGGAGACACTGCGGGCAGGTGCGAGCTGCCAGTGCTTTTTTGGGTGCCAGAGAACCACAGCAGAAAAACGTCTCCATACCATGAACAAAAAGGATTTCTCTCCCTGAGAAGGCTGAAAAAAGACCACTCCAAAGGTAATCAGCTGACTGAAATTTTGAGTTTTCTTTCTTTACATTGTCATTGAGGGAAAAAAAAAAAAAGTGGGGGGAGGAGAAGTATTCTGAAATTTTTGTTTCAGATTATTAATTCTGATAATTATAGTATTATTATAGTATTATATATTAATAGTAATTATATTATATAATTATTAATTCAGATTATTAATTCAATAATTCTGAAACTTTTGTTTCAGAATTCTTATTTCTTATTAGGGAAGGGAAGGGAAGGGAAGGGAAGGGAAGGGAAGGGAAGGGAAGGGAAGGGAAGGGAAGGGAGCTGCCCCGGGGATTTTGAGTCCTCACCCGGGATGATTTCAAAGATGAATTTCCCTCCCTCCTCGGGGTTGGTGGCCAGCACGTTGACGGAGCTCCCCTGGAGGGACACGCAGCCCTGGGACAGAGCAGAGCCCTGAGTGCCACCCCTGCCAGGCCAGTGTGGCACCCAGGGGTGCCCTGCCCTCCCACACCTGCCAGGAGATCATTTATACACATATATGGACAGATACACTCGTGTGTATATGTAATATAGAGATATACCCATGTGTATATATATAAATATACAGATATACTTGTGTATACATAGAAATATACAGATATATTCGTGTATATTTATACATATATTTGTGTGTATATATTTACAGATATATTCATGTATATATATACAGAAATACACAGATATACTCGAGTATATATAAATATACAGATATACTCGTGTATATATATAAAAATATACAGATATACTCGTGTATATATATATTTATATATAGAGAGATATACTCGTGTAGATACATGTATTTACAGATATACTCGTGTGTACATGTACATATGAAAGCCCACCCAGTGCCACCCCTGCCGTGGCAGGGACCTCCCCCGTCCCGAGCTGCTCCGAGCCCCAAAGTCCAGCCTGGCCTTGGGCAGTGCCAGGGACCCGCGGGCAGCGCCGGCTGAGAGGGGAACTCCCTCCCAGT